AAGAATGACATTTATCCCAGATAGGTTTGCGCAACCTGGAAATGCTATGAGCTGGGTGCGTTTCTTCAGAAATTTGACTGACGAAAAGGTACATTGGATGTTCGAATGGTTCCCTAGCAGTGAATTCATCATCAGGTCAAGAGAAACCACTCATTTAGTGCTGATCGGGTTAAGAGGAATCTATCCTTATGCTCCTATAAGGGTAATGAGGCAAGCGAGAAGAAAGCATATTATACCTCGAGTTTCCAACATGGTCCAGTTCAAAGCAGACTTTAAAGGGAACATCATTCCGTTCAAGTTCGAGGCACAACATATATGGAATCAAAAGGTGACTATAGAGAAAGACACTATCGAGCCAGACAGGTACCATGCCGGCCATGTATACTTCTACCCATCATGGTTGGTAGATGATATAGCGGGAGATGTCAAGCCAGGGATTAATCTGAAATATAGGGTTATAGACGACGCTGGTGAAGCACAAGTCAAGTATAGGATGCTGCGCAAGAGGGTTTTCGAGTCTGAAGCTAGACATTTGGAACAACACAAAGTGGATATGGAAGCCATTAGCGAATGAATCTAGCAAGGGCTTACCTACTGTTGGACATGCGCGACCTGGGGAACTTGATTGATGGATCCAAGAAGGCCAAGCATGGAGAAGGTCCCTCTGGGGCCAAGTAGATTAGGAAATGATGTTCTTTACTACTTTTTAGCTTTGTTTTAGATTTCGATTGTAATAAGGCAAACGCCATTAGTAATTTTCTTATTATTGTCGTTTTAGTATGGATCTGATCCATTTTCGCATTAATAAAATGACACAATTATTGGCATCAATTTTCTCCAAGTCTATGTGTTGCTTAGGCCTACCTCGGGCACAACGAGGTTCCCCCAAATTAGGACGCGAGTCTGTTACATAGCATGTTCAATATTGCAAGCATTCTTTCAGTATCCCTTACTAACTTGGTTACCTTTTTGTTTTTCTTTTCTTTTGTTTATTCCCATTCCCCAAAGGTTGGTTCGTGCATACTGGCATCATCCGCATATTACACTAGATCCAGAGGTCCTCCACCTCCTCCTCCACCAAGTGATCCTAAGAGCAAAAGCAAATGGAAAGAAAAAATGGATGATTTAAGCGGTATCAGAAAGGACAATGCAGAGAACGTTGAAACCTCGGATGGTCAGAATACTCCAGCACCAAATGAATTGGTCCTATGTCTGGAACAAAAAATATTGGAGCTACAAGGGGAACTTGAGAAGGTCTGAAACTTGGCAAACCTTTCCCTTACCCTAAACGTCCCCGACCTTAACCAGCAAAACACGAATGCCCAAAATCCGGTGCCTCCCCAAAACATACACAAAATCCGTAAGATCCTCCTATACCACATCAATACGCCACACCTTCTCAAAACCACAACCCTCCACCGGTACCTACTCCTCAATAACACCATCACCACCCGACTCAATACCCACAAAAAACCACATACCACACCCCTCAGAATGCACCACAACCTACTCCTGACCCGCAAAACTCAACCCGTGACCACCATTATGCCCAGATTACCGGAGTCCACCAAACCAATCCCATATATGTGGAAACTTTACCCCACACCCCACAACAGACCCTATACATACTCGAATCCGCTGAGAAGGACCTACTCATCAAGAACATGGCAGAAGAACTTAAGAAACTTACTAGCAGAGTTCAAAGTGTCGAAGGGGGCAAATGCATTGAGGGTTTGAATTATGAAGATTTGTGTATTCAACCAGATGTAGAACTGCCAGAAATTTACAAACCTCCTAAGTTCGAAATGTTCGACAGGACTGGTGATCCGAAGGTGCACTTGAGAACGTATTATGACAAGCTTGTAGGAGTTGGCAAGGATGAAAGAATCCGCATGAAGCTGTTCATGAGGAGCCTCATTGGAGATGCTCTGTCTTGGTACATCAGTCAGAATCCAAAGAAGTGGGTTAATTGGGTGAGCATGGCATCATATTTCATGGATCGATTCAGGTTTAACACAGAAAATGCACCAGACGTTTTCTACATTCGGAATCTCAAGAAGAAGCCAACAAAAACTTTTCGCGAGTATGCTACTCGGTGGAGGTCTGAAGCTGCAAAAGTAAGGCCAGCACTGGAAGAAGAACAGATGAATAAGTTCTTCGTCAGAGCTCAAGACCCGTAATACTATGAAAGACTGATGGTTATTGAAAACCATAAATTTTCTGACATCATCAAATTGGGAGAAAGAATAGAAGAAGGGATCAAAAGAGGAATGGTGACAAATTTTGAAGCACTCCAAGCCACAAATAAAGCCTTACAATCAGGAGGTTTCTCCAAGAAGAAATAAGTGGGTGCGGTGATGGTAGCCCAAGGTCCAAAGTCTCCTCTTACATACCAAACACCTCCACCCACATATCAGCCTTCACCTCCCAGATACCAATAACCTACCGCGACTTACCATACCTATAACACCCAACCGGCCTACTACCACTTACCGCCAGCTTGCCAAAACTACCAAAAACCTAGACCAAATTTTGACCGCAGACCACCCAGACAATACACCCCAATTGCTGAACCCATAGACCAACTGTACGAGAGACTGAAGGGTGCCGGTTATATCACTCCCATTCCCGCTGTTGCTATAGAAAACTCCTCCCAGTGGATAAACCTAAATAAGATATGTGCCTATCACTCAAGCATGAAAGTTCATACTATTGATGAGTGTCATACTTTAAAGGATAAGATTCAGACATTAATTGACACCAAATTCATACAGGCAAAGGAGGCTGCACCCAATGTTCGTAACAATCCTCTCCTGGATCACAAGGGTGGAGGGGTAAACGTGATAGAGACCGATGAAGAATAGGACTTAGAGGGGTCAATTGGACTCATTCGAGAAGGGGATAATCCTGAAATATCTCCAGTCACTCTCACATCTATCATGGTACAAACTTAGGCACAAATTGAAGTTTAGATAGCTGCACCAACTTCGTTTGAGGTTGAAGTAACAACGCCCTTCACCGTGATGGTAGCACCTACGCCATCTTATAAGTCTAATGCTATACCATGGGATTATGTTGCGGAAGCAAGAAGGAAAGGAAAGGCAAAAATGGAAGAAACAGGTGCAGCGCAAGGCATGACCAGAACTGGTAGGATTTATACACCCGAGCATTTGGGAGGAACGAGCAAAGAAGCAGTATCTAAATTGCCTATCATTGAGACTGGCTCAGACGACCTTTGGAGAAAGGTGTAGGCAGGAGAATATTCTATGGTCGATCATCTGAACAAAACCCCTGCTCAAATATCCATTTTATCACTGCTGCAAAACTCCGAGGCACATAGGAATACCCTGATGAAGTGTTGAATGAAGCCTATGTACCCAACAACATCACCAGCGGAGAAATGTCCAACATGGTAGGGCAAGTGTTGGAAGGCCACAAGATCACTTTTCATAAAGACGAGCTGCCACCAGAAGGACTTAAGTCACAACAGGGCATTGCATATCACAGTGCAGTTTGAGGACAAGTTCATTGCCAGAGTCCTGATAGATGGGGGTTCGAGTCTCAATATATGTCCGCTAACTACTCTGAAAAGATTGGGTAAAGGCCTGCACGAGATACAAGCAAGAAGTAAAAATGTGAAAGCATTTGATGGGTCTCAAAGAGCCACAATTGGGGAGACCAACCTCAACCTACAAATGGGCCCAACCTGGTTTGATGTTGAGTTTCAAGTGTTGGACATATCTGCTACCTACAACCTATTGTTGGGACGACCTTGGATACATGCCACTGGGGCCGTAGCTTCTACTCTACATCAGGTCGTGAAGTTTGAATGGAACCATCAGGAAGTGATCATCCATGGAGATGGAAGTAATCCCATTTACACCAATCAAACTGTTCCGGTCATCGAGAATAGAAGGAAGTTGGGTGGAGAAATATATCATCGCATCGAGCGCGTCAACGCAATTGAAAGGACAAATGGTGGAGCAATAAGATAGATGGCATATTGGCATGGACAGGATATCAACCTGGTAAGGGTCTCGGTAAGAATCTCCAGGGGATCACCAAACCGATACAGCTAAGGCGTCACGACACAACTTTGGGCTTGGGTATGAATACACCTGGCACGAGTATCAGAATTGGTGGCCACCGTGGCATGGTCCTTATTACCCTTTAGAACAACCGGTACCATATTTGTACCAGCCATTTCATCAAGCTGACATGATGTGGGGGTACGAACAAGATGAAGTTTTGGTTGGCATAAGGAATTTGTTTTTGGATGATGAAGACATGGATTGCAGTGCGATAGTTGAGGAGGAGGAAGGCCTTATTATTCAGTCCGTGGAGAAAGGAATTGTTCTCAAGAATTGGACTGCTGCACCATCAAGGGCCCGTCGAGTTCCTGGGTAGCCTGGCAACTAGCATCATTTATTTTGAAAGCAATTTTATGAGCATCTAAGACATTTTCTATATTTTGTTTTAAGCATATTTTGTTTTGAAATAATTGCTCGAGTCATCGAGCCGTACTTATTTGATGTTTTCAAGATTTATCTAATGCATTGTTATTTTTAGTATTTATTATTATTCTTTACATTTTTCTCTACATCATTGTCATTACCTATCCCGATGAACCTATGACTGTGACATGTAATGAGACAACGCAACATAAGGATAATGATTCATAGGATCTGGAAGAGGATATAATACCCGAGGAAATTGTCAGAGAAGTGGAAAACTTTGAAAACAAGCCTAAATCCAATTTGGATGAGACTGAAACTGTTAATTTGGGAGACTCCAAAACAGTCAAGGAAACTCGAGTAAGCATTCACCTATCACTGTCAGAAAAGGAAGAATATATCCGATTCTTGAAGGAGTATGAGGATATTTTTGCATGGTCCTATGATGATATGACCGGTTTGAGCACGTCCATAGTGGCTCATAAACTACCTATCAACCCTATGTGTCCGCCTGTAAAGTAGAAGCTCATAAAGTGCAAACCAGATATGAGTCTAAAAATAAAGGAGGAAGTCATCAAGCAGATCAAAGACAAGGTTCTCAGAGTAGTTGAATATCCGACCTGGTTGGCTAACATTGTGCCGGTTCCAAAGAAAGATGGGAAGGTCAGAGTGTGTGTCTATTATCGGGATTTAAATAGAGCAAGTCCCAAAGATGATTTTCCTTTGCCCAATATACACATACTGATTGACAATTGTGCCAAGCATGAACTTCAATCCTTTGTGGATTGCTTCACGGGATATCATCAGTTCTGGATGGATGAAGAGGATGCCAAAAAGACAGCCTTTATTACACCATAGGGAGTATATTGTTACAAGATGATGTCGTTTGGCCTAAAGAATGCTGGAGCCACCTATATGAGGGCCATGACAACCATTTTTCACGACGTGATACACAAGGAGATAGAGGTGTACGTGGATGATGTCATCATCAAATCTAAGAGAAGCATAGATCATATAGCATATTTGAGGAAATTCTTTGATTAACTTCGAAGGTACAACCTGAAACTGAATCCCGCAAAATGTGCCTTTGGAGTCCCTGCTGGAAAGTTATTAGGGTTCATTGTCAGCCGCCGAGAATTGAGCTAGACCCGTCAAAGGTCAAGGCTATCTAAGATTTGCCACCTCCGAAGAATAAGAAAGATGTGATGAGTTTCTTAGGGCGTCTCAATTACATCAGCCATTTCATAGCATAATCAACTGTGATCTGTGAACTGATTTTCAAAATGTTGAAGAAAAATGCTGCAACAAGTGGGACTGAAGAGTGCCAGAAAGCCTTTGACAAGATCAAGGAATATTTATCCAAACCACCTGTTCAGGTCCCACCGGAACCTGGGAGACCTCTGCTACTTTATTTATCTGTACTAGATGGGGCTTTCGGCTGTGTCTTGGGACAACACGAAGAGACGGGAAGAAAGGAACATGCGATATACTATCTAAGTAAAAAGTTCACACCCTACGAAGCACGGTATTCTTTGCTAGAGCGCAGCTGCTGCGCTTTGACATAGATAGCTCAGAAGTTGAGGCACTACTTCTATGCCTACACCACATATCTCATATTAAGGATGGATCCGCTAAAATACATCTTCTAGAAACCCATGCCTACGGGAAAATTTTCAAAATGACAGATACTACTGAGTGAGTTCGACATCATCTATGTAACTCAGAAAGCGGTCACGGGGCAAGCGTTGGAAGATCATCTGGCAGAAAATCCTGCGGGTAGAGAATACGAATCACTGAAAACATATTTTCCCGATGAAGAGGTATCATTCGTAGGAGAAGATATCACCGAAACCTATGACGGTTGGAGAATGTTTTTCGATGAAGCTGCAAACTTCAAGGGAGTAGGTATTGGAGCAGTTTTAGTGTCAGAAACAGGTCAACACTATCCAGTATCCGCAAAGCTCAGGTTTCCATTTACCAACAACATGGCAGAATATGAGGCTTGTATCTTGGGACTCAAGTTGTCCATTGACATGAACGTTCAGGAATTGCTAGTAATTGGTGACTCAGACCTTTTGGTACATCAGGTTCTAAGAGAATGGGCTACAAAGAATATCAAAATACTGCCGTATTTGGACTATGTACAAGAATTAATGAAGAGATTCACAAAGATAGAGTTCAAACATGTTCCGAGAATTTAGAATAAGTTCGCAGATGTATTGGCCACTCTATCTTCCATGATACAATACCCAGACAAGAATTTCATCGACCCTATCCCGGTAGGGATTCATAATCAGCCAGCTTATTGTGCTCATGTTGAATAAGAAGTTGATGGAAATCCATGGTTCCATGACATCAAAGGATATTTGGCAAAAGGAGAAAACCCGGAGCACGCAAATCATACTCAGAAATGCACACTCCAAAGGTTATCTAACCACTTCTTCCAAAGCAGAGGATTCTATATAGAAGGACTCTAGATCTGGGGTTATTACGGTGTGTCGACGCCAAGGAAGCATCCAAATTGCTCGAAGAGATATATGGCGGAACTTGCGGACTACACATGAATGGCTTCGTCTTAGCTAAGAAGATATTAAGAGCAGGGTATTTTTGGGTGACTATGGAAACAGACTGCATTAGGTATGTCCAAAAGTGTCATCAATGCCAAGTACATGCTGATATGATACGAGTGCCACCCAATGAACTCAATGCAACAAGTGCACCTTGGCCTTTCTCCGCTTGGGGGATGGATGTCATCGGTCCAATCGAACCCGCCGCTTCAAATAGGCATCGGTTCATTCTAGTGGCCATAGATTATTTCACAAAATGGGTTGAACCCGTATCTTACAAGGCTGTAACTAAGAAGGTCATAGCAGATTTCGTTAGGGATCATATTGTTTGTCGATTCGGGGTACCGGAATCAATCATCACCGACAATGCCGCCAACCTTAATAGTGATTTGATGAAATCCATGTGTGAAACCTTCAAGATCCAGCATAAGAATTCCACAGCATACATGCCACAAATGAATGGAGCTGTGGAAGCCGCCAATAAGAACATCAAGAAAATATTAAGGAAAATGGTAGATAATCAGAAACAATGGCACGAGAAGTTACCATTTGCCCTACTTGGATATCGTACCACGGTTCTCACATTAACTGAGGCAACTCCTTATTTGTTGGTCTATGGCACTGAAGCCGTCATTCCCGCCGAAGTAGAAATTCCTTCTTTAAGAATCATACAAGAGGCTGAACTCAATGATACAGAAGGGATACGAAGTCGTTATGAATAATTGGCTCTCATTGACGGAAAAAGAATGAATGTAGTATGCCACGGTCAACTCTACCAGAACAGGATGTCTAGAGCTTTCAACAAAAGGGTCAGGCCTAGACAATTCACGCCAGGGCAGTTGGTGCTAAAGCGGATCTTCCCGCATCAAGATGAAGCCAAAGGGAAATTTTCACCCAATTGGCAAGGGTCCTACATAATTCACAGAGTACTAATAGGAGGAGCACTCATACTTGCAGAAATGGATGGAGAAATTTGGCCAAAACCTATCAAGTCAGACGCAGTCAAGAGATACTATGTTTAGATTGTTTACATTTTCATCTGATGTAACTGAACTACACTTGACCTGATTCCCGTTTAAAAGGGGATACATAGGCAGCTTTGTGGGTTGGGTCACATCTCAATAAGATCTTCATTTTTCCATGGTTAGAAACAGGGGAAGAATTTTGAGGAGGACCCTCAAAAGTCTGAAGCAAGTCCAGCCAACTTTGTCATACACAGAACAATCAAAGAATTGCTTTTAAAATTGGGGCAGAATTTTGAGGAGGACCCTCAAAATTCTAAAGCAAGGAGGTCGCAATGTCTTTAAAATATGTCACAGTCATGGGTTCATCTTACTTACTTGATATCGCATACTGCTATATTTTAAAATAACTACATTCATCAAATGCACGCATTTCTTTCGAAAAAAAAAACTTTATTTCTATAAACAACCAGATGTTACCCAGGGTGACTCAAACAGGATCTCAAGACAGGAGCACAGGCAAAGCAGAAGACAAAAGCGCGAACCAACCTTCCCCTACAAAACTCACAATTTTTCTTTGGATGTAGGCATAGTAAGACAATAATATCTGTAGACACATCAGGTCACTACCTTCAAGATAGCAGATTATCTACCCCAAGCATCTCCAGCTAAGAAATACTCCACTATCACTCATCGTTTTCTTTGCATGAGGCTAAGCCGTACCTCCTAACTGCATAAGGCTAAGCGTTGCCTTTCTTTGCAAGATACTAAGCATTGTATCCTAATTGCATGAGACTAAGCACTGTCTCTAATTTTTCATGAGGCTAAGACCTACCTCCTCAACTGCATAAGGCTAAGCACTGCCTTTCTTTACATGAGGCTAAACCCTGGCTCCTCAACTGCATAAGGCTAAGCATTGCCTTTCTTTGCATGAGACTAAGCATTGTCTCCTATTTGCATGAGGCTAAGCTCTGCCGCTTCAACTGCATAAGGCTAAGCACTGCCTTTCTTTGCATGAGGCTAAGCCCTGCCTCCTCAACTGCAAAAGGCTAAGCATTGCCTTTCTTTGCATGAGACTAAGCATTATCTCCTATTTGTATGAGGCTAAGCATTGCCTCCTTAACTGCATAAGGCTAAGAACTGCCTTTCTTTTCATGAGACTAAGTATTGTCTCCTATTTCCATGAGGCTAAGAATTGCCTCCTTAACTGCATAAGGCTAAGCACTGCCTTTATTTGCATGAGACTAAGCATTGTCTCCTATTTGCATGAGGCTAATCCCTGCCTCCTTAATTGCATAAGGCTAAGCACTGCCTTTCCTGCACAAGGCTAAGCGCTTCCTTCTTTGCATGAGACTAAGCATTGTCTCCTATTTTTCATGAGGCTAAGCCGTGCCTACCCTTTTTTGCATAAGGCTAAGCATTGCCTTTTCCTCAAGACTGAATGCTTTCTTCATTACGCCATCTAAAACCTGTCATTATCCTCTACTCACCCACGGCTAAGCACTACCCTCGTCTCACACGAGACTAAGCCTTGTCTTGTCTCATCCTCGCACATGACTAAGCATCCTATATTTGCATTTCATAGGCTGAAATATCGCCATTTTGTCCAAAGGTGTCATAGTCCGAAGGCATCATCCTCATAGCCGGAAGACACAATTCCATGGCCTGAGAATCATTTAGGATTTCACATCATTATTCAAAGGCGTCATAATCTAAAGGCACCATCCTCATGGCCCAAGAACACTATTTCATGGCCTGTGAATCCCTTATCATACGCTTCATGGCCCATGACGTCATGGTCTAAAGGACATCATCCTCCTCGTCCAAAGACAATCTTCATGGTCCAAAGGGAATTTGCATCATGTTTAAACTTTCGCAATAACCCATATATATATTTGCACACACCGTGTTTTAAGTTTTGTAGGTAATCCAGGAGGTAACCGTTCTACAAACAGGAGCAATCTTCGCTCCGATTTCCGTTCATAGCATTTACATCCTTCGATTGCTTCAAACGTAACCGACTACCAATAATTGACTACCTTTTACTCTACGACCGTTCGAACATTTACCTCATACACTCGTAATATCCAAAATTCGTATTCATGACCCTATCTAAAATTGTCCGTTACTTACAACAATATCCTACCCAAAAGAACCTTTCGAAACATGCGACCATTCTTATCACAACTCCATCGGTTTCATTCGCCTTTGGATCCAAAACTACACACGACCTGATTCCCGTAATACCAGGGATATGTAGGCAACTCAGAAACCAGGGTTCGGCCTCTATTTTTTCAAATCACCCCATTCGGTCAAAAATTCTTTCATCATTTCTGGGTAAATAGGGGCAGCTGTTGATACCCAATTTTTCCCTCATATTTTTAAAATACATATATACTTTAAAAATAGCATATTTGCATTATCATTTAGTTTACAAACCTATACAAGCATTTTTCCATAATTTTCCATAATTGTTAGAGCTTTAAATTAATTTACTTATATTATTATTATATAAATATCTAGTAATTATCCTTTAAATTATTTTGTGATGACTTAATTATCCAAAATTATTATTTGCATCCATAATACATGTTTCAAACATTTCTATTCTATTTTTTATAATTGCATTAGCATTTTAAAGCTATTTATCTAATTTTGCAATAATGGCCTATATTCTATAAATAATTACGTTTATTATGTTATTTATGCCGAAGTATCATTTTTATATTTCATCTATATGCACCCTTGTTCCTTACTGATTCTGGACTGATACTTTTCCTTTTTCGTGTTTGACTATTCTTTTCCTTATTTCTGTTTAATCTGCCATGTTTCCCTATTTTCTACTTTATTTTTCCCTAAATCTGACTCTAAATGATTTTTGGTATGATATTTTCCTTATTCTCTGTTTAATTTTCTGTATTCCTTTAGTTTTAGTATTATTTGTGTGATAATTGCTATTCCCTGTTGATTTACTTAACCCCTTTGTTTCATGCCCTAAAAACCGATTCTAATTGATTCTAGTATATATTTCCTTAT